GTGCTTGGTTGACATCAGCCTGAGTTTTGAATTTTTTTTCCTGTAAAAAGTTTTGCAAAGAGAGAAACAAGCGTTAATCGGAGGGTGCTAAGTCTGGGGCGTATGGTGGATGCGACAGAATTTGCCAGTCTAGCTCTGCGATTTTCTGACGAGTCGCCAAAGCAGCATGTGGTCCGGCATTATCATCGGTAGCCATGTTTTCACGATCGCGTCTCGCTTAATAACGACACGAAACATCTTTGTTTCAGTTTATTTAGGACAGTACATGTGTGTAAATGCAACGATAAAGAGAGATAGTCGTATATGTCTGAAATCAACATGTGCATATGGATTGAAACTTGAAGCGACGCTATCGGACAGAACTTTCCGGTAGACCTAATATTACTCGGGGTGTAACGAGACGACCATGGACCTCCGTCGTGCTCCTCCAGGTACACCCGAGCTATTCAACTCCCTTTCTGCAGTTTTCATACGATGGTACCATCGTCGAGGGTTTTTGTGAGATGCAAGTGGGTCAGAGACGACGCGCCGCTTGACCTGTAAAATCTTTCGGCTGCTACCTGCCGTGTCACGTAGCACAACCTCATTAAACGGGTGTGTCGAGTAGGCTCGCAACACACATTTTACTGGGAGCCGCCCTCGGCTGCTAATGCATCGGGGATCCTTCGTCACCGTACCATCGCACTTTCTTTCGTAACTCGAAGATAACTGCACCTGTCGATGGAAAGCTTCGATTTCTCCCAAAGCACGGTTATTGGCCCGCCCCCTAAGCGCATAGCGGAACTTACAACGTGCAATTTCGATCTTTTTGTCGATAGTTTCTTGGGACCCTTAAATTCTTTTTCATCCCCTCGTTTCTCGTAAAATCTTCCTATCCGTATTTCACTTCCAGGGATGTCGGATTCCCGAGCCTGGGATCGGGTCGGCTCGAGTCGAGATTATGAAATTTACTCGCAAGGGATAAATTCCTGAGGTCTTCTGAAGTAACTTTTTCCTTAGCGAAAATGCGATCCGTGGCTTCGTTTACGAGTTATTAAGGAAAAACACTGACCGATAAGAGGCGAGCTCGGTTGGCGGCCCAGCCAATAAGCGGAACTGGCTTCGCGCGTTTGTTATTGTTATTGGTCAATGTTTTTCGTTAATAACTCGTAAACGAAGCCGCGGATTGCATTTTCGCTAAGGAAAAAGTTGCTTCGAACGACCTCAGGAATCCCCTACTTTCGGATTGCGAGACAGTTTTGGGACACCCTGTATACATATATGCATCTCTTCGTTCCGATCTGTCCGTTCTAAAGATAAACTTTTCCTTTGCAATCGCGGCTTGGAACGGTTCGTTGAATAAACTTTCGGGATCCCGACCCGACCCAACCCGGAATTTCGGATACCCGCACACCCCTGTACATTTCCTATCCAAAGTATAGCCACCAAAGTTGCACACTGTTGGTGAAATATTTTGAAACAGATGAAAATTCGAAGAGTAATTCAAAATCCAAAATTACATACTTGTTAGCGAAAACTGTATTTTCGGATAATTTATGAGCAAATAATGAACAGATTTGCAAACGTGTGCTGTCTTTTAACATCGCACTGACCCACTGACTACGAACGGTGGGAACATGGAGAGCGCAGAACGGAAAAGTCTAAAAAAATATTAATCGCGCGGCCGTAAAACAAACAGCACGATTTGAAATCGATGAAAAGTGAAAATGAAATGTAAACGAGAATCGAGCGAACGGCTGTAGCGGATAAAGGAGACGAAAGTACGTGGAATGGCGATCGAAAGGGAGGATAATAAAGAAAAAAAAGCTATGGAAGGGGTCGAAAAATATGAGAATATGAGAGAATGGACCACTTACAAACGACGGCCCTGTGGAACATGAAAATCCATTGAAATTATTCGCCGGCATTATCCGGAAAATGAAATAATTTTAAATCGATGGTAACGCGATTATTGCGGGTACAGATAGGAGCCGAGCGAATGCCGCAAATTCATCGGAGCTGACAAAGGCTGTGTAATTTGGATGGAAGGTTTTTAATAACGAAAATTGAGGGATGCGAAGGGGACGGATCTTTTTGTTTGTACTGTTCTTACAAAAAGGACGACCGGACCGATAAATGCAAATTGTTGAATTGTACAGTCGATCGACGGAGGGGGTGGGAAATATATGAATAACGAGGTCGAGAGAGGACGGAACGTGAAGCTTATTCACCACGATGCGGTCGATATAAATAAAACAATCGAATAAAAAGATATTTAAATCGATAAAGAGAACTCGGTAACGGGAGTAAGAAAATATTTGCGAAGACGGAGAGCAAATTCGAGCAAATCAAATAATCGATGGAAGAGTCCAAATCCGAGCGTAAACAGGAGCCAAATGAATGACAATTAATCGATGCAAATGGCGAGAAAATTAAAAACTTGTTTACGCGATCCCGTGGCAAATAAAGCTCTCTTTACCGATGCGAAATTGTAAATACAACTGCAAACAGGCACTGAAGGTACGGCAAAAAGAGGGATGAAATTTAAATCGTTCGAGGTGAACAGAAGACACTCGACAAAAGGAAAAAACAACATTTACTAAACGGCCGATACAACCGAAGAAATCGCCAATGAAGAAAATATCGAGCTTTTGCTTTAGCTCTAGCTAATTTCCGCAATAGCCAAAGTTATACGAACAACTTCGTTGGTATAAGACCGCAAAATTCGTACAACACCTACAAAGACAACAACAGAGACGAATGGAAACGGATTTCGCCGGAATATTTCAATAAAATCATCTGTAACATGTCCAAGCGATTACACGAAGTAATAAAACAAAATATTAATATTATGATAACACGATTAAAAAGATTTTCATTTTATATAAAATTAATGTAATTCACATTCACACTGTCCGAATATTTTTGCGACGTTAAATTTTCTCGCAATCTTGTTTATCGCTTATTATACAAAAAGAACATGTGCAATAAATAAACAAAATTTATGTTTCTACTTACTTTAAGAAGTGCTTTATTATATAAGAAAGCAATTGATTCGATAACACTATCATAAACAATAAAGCCAATATTCTTCTTCTTCTTCTAACGATATCGTGTCCGAATATTAATGCGAGTCACTGTACGAATCTTACACGTTTTCTCACTTTAAATAAACAAAATGGTCGCAGTCGTGGTCACCGTTTCGAAGTAGCCAATGTCACCATTTTTAATATTTTTGATCCTAAAAAGATTGTAAATGTTGTTGAAACGTGTATAAATAAACCGAGTAAATGCGACTGCAAAACATGTCATAGTTTCTTCCCAAAAATATGTGAAAGATAGTTAAATAAAAAAACGCATTTTACACTAGAATACACTCTTAAACATTGACTTAAAGTTGTGGAACGTCGCATAGACAACGTTTGCGCGCGTTAAGAGTTTAATCGAAGAAACTGACGGTGAAACTTCGAATGAAGCCTTCAATTAAAAACTAGAGGGGCGAAGAGGTAAAATAGGGGTTGAAGGATGCAAAAGATAGTTTCCCATGATCTCCCCCCCCCCCTCCGCGCTCTCTCTCTCTTTTTCTCTCCGTCTCTCTCGTCTTTCGCAGTTACCCTTTCTTCTCCCGTCGGAGCCGGCACGTTCTCTCGTTCCCACCCCCTGCCACGAATCTCATCCCCCGAGCCGGCCCGACCCGGAATAAATCAATACACGTGTCTGCTACTTGGTTGTACACTCTCGGGTCGAACCTTAAGCCCGAATTCCGAGGAGCCGAAAGTTTCGCGAATCGCAGCCGCGCGCCCGAGTACAAGCACCCGGCGGGGTGGGTGGTGAAAAACAATCCGCGGGGTCGAGTTTAATTAACTCGGAGGCGACCGAGGTTCGGGGCCGCGGCGCCGCCGGCAAGTTATCGTCGGAAAATAAAAGCCCGGCTCCTGATTAAGCCTGCGATTGTTCAATTACGGTCGAACGCCGTGGACGCCCGCCCTGCAATCACGGCTCGCCGAGGAATTTTTAATAACGCCATCGAGGCCTCTCTCTCTCTCTCTCTCTCTTTTTATTTCCTGCAAATCTACCGATCCCCTCGATTCGGCGCAAACACAAGACGCGAAAGTTTTTCGTTCGGTGCATGAATTCTTCCGCGATCCGAACTACGTCCTCCGCACCGTTTTTCCTGCGATTTGCTATTTAGGGTGATATGACCAGTAAATGAACATTTAAGCTGCACCTCTGTTAAAATAATATTTAATCCCACGATTGATATTATTGTAAGCGAACTGTTTTACTATTAACAAGGCACTGTGAGGAAAATGTGAAATTCAAAATAAAAAAGATAATTTTTTTTACATATTTTTGTAGACACAATGTAATCTTTGTTGTTATCGTTGTTTTAAGTATCATTTGTTGTTCTTGAGAGATTTCGCGAGCATAACTTAATTTATTTGTATCATTTTTGAGTTTTTACGGGTTCGCAATTGTTCCTTGTAAGTTTATGCATCCGTGAACCGAATTGTAGTTATTTTTACAGTTATAGCGTTTCTAAAAGTCAAACATACGATTTATAAATATTGAATAGTAAAATTAAATATGCAATAAATTTTTATGAAATGATATCTGCAAGACGTTCGTATAAAACTGCTGTATAAATTTTAATGTGAGAAGATACACGTTACTTTTTTAATGTAACACCAGAATCATTCGTTACTGGTCAGATTACCCTATTGTGACCTTTTTGGGTCGCGGAAATATTTTTCAGGGAAACTATTAGCAGACGCGCTTATATTTAATGTTTCCGAGCTTTTCAGTCTTTCAGACTCCGGTCCTCGATGTTCCAAGCGAAGTTTCAAATTTTGTCAAAACATTACATGAGATTTAAACGAATCATTTTCGGTAGAAGATTTGTTTATATTACTCGTAGAACGCGCGACTGAATCCACAGACGAACGTAAGAATAGCCCGAAGCATTGTTAAAACTCTTTTCGACCGAACTTAAGAAATGATTTGATTGGTGCTCGACTCACCTAATTGGCGGCAAATGTCAGCCTTCAGATGAGAGGGCAGTGTCTTCTCTTTGAGCAGCGCCTCGTAGTGCTCCTTGGCTAGGCGATATTTTCCTTGGACCTCGTACAGGTGGGCTATGTGAAATTTTACTGAAACAGGAAACGGTTTACTTCAATTATAGAATCACCTGAAATTTCAACCCTCCCAACCTCGGGCGCAGAATTTGCTCATTTCCCGCATTCTATAAAATGGTTTCCCTCTGTGCTGTAATCCGACGCATTCGGTTGAAATGTGAATTCATTTTTAATTAAATTACGAAGCCAATGCGGTTGGAATATCGGGTGTTCCTTTGCGTATATTATAGCTAGTCCGCGTATATTTATGCGAAATAAAAATTCTTCACGCCAATTGCAACAAATGGAAGTTGTATAGAAATATCTTTCTTCTATCAATGATCCTAATTAGCTGAAACTGATACACTGATAACCTTAAACGCGTTCAATCTGTCTATTCGTTTATATGGCATTTACTCGTCTTCGACATAGATGCTTGAAAGTTTAATTACTGCACATACAAGATATAAAAGACGGAACATTATATAGAAAAACTTAATAATATTAAAATAAACGCGGTCTTAAATATTCTTAGTCGAGCTTCTATTTTATAGTTTTCTATACGATCAATATTTTTGACGCATCTTCTGATGCGTGGATAAATCTTCTTCCGTGGATAAATATTATTATTCGAGAGCGGATATTTATATAAAATACAAATTGTCTCAACAAATTGCAGAAACTAGTTAGAAGATCCAATTTATTTAGACTTTGTACAGTTCTTCTTACGGTCGTTCACTCGATCATTTCTATTTATAATTTTTATAGTTATGATTCGAGAAGCTGGTTCCACAGCTGATTTAACAGTGGTAGGTTTTGTGTTGATAAGTTGCGAATAACATTAATTCGATCGAACTATACTCGTTTCCAGTCCAATTTACACGCGAGCGAGCACGGAGAAGAATCTCTTTCGAAGAATCGGAGTAAATAACGGAGCTTCCGAGTGCAATTTTTTCCCAATTCGAAAGTTTTTCCCCCGATTCGAATCGAACTCGAGAAACAAACTCGATAGACCAGACCGGGGGACCTTGCTCGGGACCGATAGTCGGTAGTAATCAGCCGACCTTCTATAATTTTCCGACAGTTTCGAATTACACTTCCCGGCAAGTTCGCCGACGCTTACCGACCGCGTGATTAACCAACGTGCGACTGACCTGGATGTCGCGGTCGCTCGAAACTATATCGCTCGCGCAACTTCTAGCCGGATTAAGAGGACGCGAGAGTGAATTCTCGGCAAAGAAAGTATTCCAGAAACGATCAGGTGGGGAAACACCGTTTCAAATGTCGGATGATTCACGCGGGAACCGTGAAGCCCGTCGCGCAATCAGATCTTGATACCAGCCGAGCCGTTTGCGCAATCATAAAATAAGAAAAGCTGTTTCCAAGGTACGTCCAGACTGTTTCCATCAACGTCTGTTCTAGATTTTTGCTCCGGATTTGCTGTTCGGTTTCTATTTCTTCTAACCGACGAAGATCAGTTTTTTATTTTCCACAAAAATCCTCTGTCCGTGAGTTAAAGAACGATACAAGAACGATTCAGTTACAGATGTCTCTCACTCCCATTTTTATGATATCTCCATAAATGTTATATTATAAAATTATTATTATTATTATGTTATTTTTTATTATCCGCGAATGTTAGCAACTGGACAAATTTAATGCAGCGGTCAAGGAAAAGCGACCAGAATTGGTCAAACGTAAAGGTGTGAATTTTCCAGCAGGACAATGCTAGGCCGCACACGTCATTGTCCGCTCGGCAAAAATTGATGAATATTGGTTGGGAATCGATGTTACACCCACCGTATAGCCCTGATCTCGCGCCATCGGATTACCACTTATTTCGATCCCTGGACAACTCCCTTCGTGGTAAAACTTTGAACGACGACGACGCTGTAAAATCTCGCTTAACTCAGTTTTTGGCCGAAAAGGATCAGACTTTCTACGAGCGTGGAATTTTCAAGTTGTCGGAGAGACGGCAAAAGGTCGTCGAACGAAATGGAAAATACATTACAGATTAAACTTCGTTCCAAGTAAAAAAAATTCTTTTATTTCATCGAACAAATCGGCAATTACTTAGTTGCCAACACAATATATTGCAATTCAACGCATCGAAGAATGCGACGAAAACAAAATTCATACTCGGTCGTATACTCGATAACCTCGCATTTTAACGCTAGAGTTACGGAGCGCGAAAGCAGTTTTAGTTTTATATTAGTTTATAAAAGTCATAGTAAGCCATTTATTCTGATGTTTAGCAAGTGTTGTAACATAACTCATAAATGTATCTTTACGATATGAGCAATCGTAAATATTAACAAATTAGTGACCAGTCATTTCGACGGGTTCCATGGATCCAGTGTTAACTAAATATTTAATGTGCACATCTACGCGCGTTTATTTCATGGTTAATTACCAGCATAGCGAATCAAAGATGTGCTAAAAATAATACCGGGTATTTTCCGACACTATTTTCAATATTATATGAAGATTCATTCGGGTTAATAATTATTTGAACAATACCCTCCGATGCGTTCAAAGAGCACAACAACATTTCCAAAATGTTCAGCCTCGTTGAAATGGTGGACGTTCGACCAGAAGTTTAGCTAACAAGCAACGACATAGTACGTACATGCTTTGCATCGACATAATAGTATCGAAACTGATGGTGCTGGAAGAGCGATGGCTTCGCCGCGATATCTGGCACCGAATCATATTTTTATCCCCTCGCTGTGAATTTAGATTATAATTAAACGGTAGGAAGTCTTCCGCACGAGTGTCCACGTGACTCATTCATGTCTCACGGTAATCCGAAGTGACGCGGATAAAGCTATACAACGGCATGAAATCCCGTCCGGAAAGAGTAACGGAGATTCCCGTTTTATTAATTAAGGCTTCAAGGCTCCGCTTTCCTCTCTCGCTCTTCTCCGCCCCGCGCGGCGTATTCTTACTTAACACATTACGGTATAGCAATCGCGTGGACAAGCGCCTCCGGACATTAGCGAGTCGCGAAACGATGACAAATTTTTTCCTTCTGTTCTTCTTAGTACTTGTCCAGAATCGTAGACGTTATTCGAACGTGGATCGAGTTACAACATTTTTATTATAACCCTGGAACGACCCCCTTCTATTTTTCGGCGTAAGTAACATTGCGGGCACGCATTGATATATCTACGTGATGCGATATACAGGGTGTCTTGTTTTTAAATGAGTACAGCAGGATATCTCGGAAGCGCAGTTATAATTATTTAAAAAATGTTCCTACAAAGATGGTTCGATAGGACGGGTTACATAATAATAACTTTATATTCTTCTACGTGTCCATCATGGTTGAAAATACAAATTTGTGATTGTTTTAAAAATTCTGTCTCAACACTGTTTAACGTTTCGTCCGACATTGAGCTGCGTGCGATCGTAATTCTTGTTCTTAAATCATTTACGTTTACAACTGGGGTCCGAAAGACTACTTCCAGGCGACTTGTATTTTCGATGATGGTGGACATATAGAAGGATAAAAAAGTTTATTCAACTGGTTTATAACGACATAATTGCAGTAACTCGATACAAACGCAATCGACGTTGCTCAGCAGCGAAAACATAAGCCGATGATTTGCATTTATAGAATTCATAATAATATCGTACAGCACCAATTTGGATTTCTCTGTGTTTGCTGTTACTTTCTGACGAAAAAAAATATAGTCTTCTGTACTACTCCACCCACAAAAAAACAATTAACATTACACGATGTAGCCCGTCCTACCAAACAACTTTTGTAGGAACAATTTTTTTAATAATTATAACTCCTGTCGCGATGTCCCGCTGTGTACTCACTTCAACAAGACACCCTGTATATTGGATTAGAAATGTCGTAAATATTTCTGGACTTTTCGTACTAAATGTCATATGGTCATAGCGTTGTGGTCGTTGCATCGGATTCGATCTTAGCTTTTACATTACGACGATAAAAATTGCACACGAGTAAATAGATGACATTATCTTTTGATTAGATTTATAAACAAATTTGTGCGATTATTTGCCATTTTACTGTATTTTAGCTTTGCTTTTCTGTGTCACTTTGGGTGACCTTGAACGACCTTCGTAATAGTGCATTGTATTCGCCTCGAAACGCTCTATCAGAATGTAAGTAAAAAACTTACTGTTCCATTTAAAAAAGCAGAATTGACCTTCGTATCTCCTCGACGCCTCCACCTACAGAAAAGTTGGTAATACCAGATCATATATGAGCCCCCCGATACCAAGTAAGTTTGGTCCAATGCATTTTCTCCTATCTTCAAAAATAAGCGAATTATTCGGATGACCTGTTTAAAATGCCCCACCCTGTATATGTATATTATTATTATTATTATTGTATATATATTATATATTATAGGTTACGTTAAATGTAATCACACAATGATCTAGTATTTATTTAAAGTTTATTTAAGATTTTACTTTTGTGAATCTTTCGAGAGAAATTATTCTCATCGGTCTATCGTTGCACTATCTCGACATAAAGTAAAAAATAGTGTTATCAAAAACTGCCAGTGAAATCGACGATTTATGAAAGTCCTTCGAACGATCGTTCTCGGAACGAACGACGGCGCTGCGAAAATCTGCTGGTTCACGTGCAAGTAACACTTTTGTTGGCGAAAGCGTCGAACGGAGCACAATGCGCGATAAATGCTATCGTTGTAGCCTAGTGATGTAAGAGCAGCTGTATCATGGCTGAGAACGGGGTCAAGTTCGCGGAGGAAAGTGAGCAAAAGATCCATGGCCGCGATGCTGTCAAGATGTTGCGCGCAGGTATGCAATTGGCACTTTCCACGCGGACGAAGTATCGATTTCATCGCGGCTCGCTAAACAATGCGATATGAAAACTGGCCACGCGAGACCTCGATTCCCAATGTTCCCACATTTATTTCAACGTTTATCGTTCGCACCCTCCGCTACAGTATCATTTACCACGTATTCGATGTGTTTGCTGTTTATATTTAATAAATACGATCTCGAAAAATGTTCGTTCTTTCGAATGCCGATACTATTTAAAATACTTGGATGATTTTATAGGAATGTACATATTGTACATTTTTCGATCATGTTCCTATTCGAACAGAAATTAAACGAAGTACGATGTACAAGATGTACAAAGTATAGAAATTAAATAAATCACAATGTACAAAGTACAAAAATTAGAAAAAGGTATAATGTACGCAAAGTAAATGAAGCACAATGTGTAAAGTACAAAAATTAAATAAAGCTCAGTGTTTAATGTACAGCGTGCAAAGTACAACAATTAAATAAAACACAATGTACAAAGTATAAAAATTAAGTAAAGCATGATATGCAAAGTACAAAAATTAGAAAAAAGTATAATGTACACAAAGTAAATAAAGCGCAATATGCGATGTAAAAAAATCAAATAAAGCTCAATGTTTAAAGTACAACAATGAAATAAATCACAATGTACAAAGTATAAAAATTAAGTAAAGCATGATATGCAAAGTACAAAAATGAAAAAAAGTATAATATACACAAAGTAAATAAAGCGCAGTATGCAAAATACAAAAATGAAATAAAGCCAAATGTTCAAGGTATTACGTGCAAAGTACAACACAATTAAATGAAGCACAATGTATAAAGTACAAAAATTGAGTAAAATATAATGTGCAAAGTACAAGAATTAAATAAAGCACAATGTGCTCTAAGTACAGAAATTGAATAAGGTTCGATGTACAAAAATTAAATGAAGCGCAATGTGAAAAGTACGCAAAATTAAATAAAGTACAACGTGCAAACTACAACGATGAAATAAAGCAGAATGTACAAAGTACAAAAATTAAATAAAGCACAATACGTAAAGTACAGAGAAATGAAATAAAGCACAATGTACAAAGTACAAAATTTAAATGAAGCACATTATGCGAAATACAAAAAATGAAATGAAGCTCGATGTTCAAGGTACAACGTGCAAGGTAGAAAAATTAAATAAAGTACAATGTACAAAGTGCAACAATTAAATAAAGTACGAAGGACGAGGTACAAGAACGATGTAAAATACAAAGGACACGATGTACAAAATGAAACAAAGTACAGAGAACAAAGTCTAAAGTGGGGGAAAATAAAAGTTCAAAGATCAAAGTTCTTTAAATATTTTCCAACTGTGTCCACTCGGGGGAAAGCAAATTTAATTTTCATTCACAGATTCTTCTACATTCATCTGCACCCCTTCGTTGAAGTAGCGGCTGCCATACGTTGTTAAAATGCCTAACGATCGTTCTCCAAGGAGCTGTACAAAGAATAGCACTCGAGGGCAACACCAGGGTGTGATTTCTGGTCGGAGCCGACCGACGACGGTAAACAGCTGCCGATACGTTATTTTTCATTGGATCCGAAACGCGTAGGTGATGCGAGACGATGAACAAAACCGGGACTCACTTTCAAGCTTGGAGAAGGAAGCAGGTGTCGTGGCATCGATCAGAGCGAGTGTCAGGTGCTTGAGGGCGGCGTCGAAGTCAGCGTGGACCTTCAGCATCAAGCCGAGCCGTAGGTGAACCTCGCAGGCTCGTGGAAATCCTGGCTCCACCCATAGCACCTGCTGGAATGCTTTCACGGCCCTGCAAACAGACAATGTTGCTTCATTGTTGCGTTCTCGCGTCTCGGACTCCGTTTATTTACGCCCTATAAAGCTGTTTTGTGAAAAGGAAAGAAACAGTTTCGCTGATCCGCGTTTCGACGGAATCGACTTCATCCACAACCATTTGGACCCACGGTATAAATATTGTTATCCGATTCGTATATAGCTCGAGAGAACGATTGATAAATAAAGTTACAAATAGACTGCAGGTTTTATGCATTTAGGGCAAAATATCTTTTTATTTAAAATCGATTAATTGCGACTTAAAAATGGTAGAAACGTTGAAAGGATTTTAAAATGTCAATGTATTATTTCGTTTGTGTAATAGAGATTTTGCATTAAAAATGCTACACTCGATATTAAAATTAGATTTTCTATAGAACCATGTACGTACGAGTGTATAGAGCTATATAAGACCTATTTCAAACTGTATAAAACAATATAAAACTATTTCAATATAAAAAAAAAAGTGAAAGTGTGAAGATACCTTTACAATCCGATCGCTGAGGTAGAGGAAATTTAGCTGCGCGTTTTACCCTGTGTCCGACAAATTGCCGGCGATGATATCACAGGATCTACATGATCGATCGACTTACTCGATCGCGTACTTTCGGGACACCTGTCGCCATAACCGGTACCATAATTAAGTCAAAGCAACTTTTTATTCCAATTATACAGCCCGCGAAACACTCGAAAATAGGCCACGATATTTATGGGAAGAAATATTCAACTTCCGTGTCAACTTGACACACTTTTTGTGCATATTTTATTACATTATTATTATTATTACCACATATATACAGACAAATAAAATAAGAGTAAAACAAGAATGTATACGTTTCGTACGCATGGTGTGCGAGTGATTTGATGGGATATGTATTTATTAGACATTGTGGCATTAGAAAAAAGATGGTGAACATATGAAAGGACACGATAAAAACAAGAGCAGAGTGAATAGTCGAATAATTAACAATACAAATTCTTTCGTTGAAAATGAAAGATATACATTGGCATAATATTAACATATTATTGATATACATTATATAAAGGGTGTCATGTACAGACTGGTGGTACAACCGGAACGGGGCTGAGTCTACGTCAAAAAATAAGTCGAAAAAAAAGAATAACATCTTTTCATTTAAGGCGCCGTTTTCGAGAAAAAGTAGGTTGAAAAAATAATACTATTGAATAGGAATCAAGTGGCACGTCTGATGCCATACCAATTCAACTGCTCGTTATGCTACAAGCGACGCGAACTTGACGCATCTTTCAACTCAGTTTTCTCGAAAACGGATTCTTAAATGAAAAAATGTTATCCTTTTTCCTGGACTTATTTTCTCACGTAGAATCAACTCCTATCCGATTATAACCACTAGTTATAAAATAACTTTGACATTCTCCATTAGTAATATCAGAGGTACAAACACTAGTATAAAAGATGAACAAAAAACAAAGAGGAAAATTGCTGAACAGTCTATCGTTTGGATCCTTCAACGAAAGAATTTGTAACGTTAACCTTTTAGGCACGACGCGCCACTATAGTGGCTTCCGCGCTCACTCGTTCATCGTTTCAACCAAATAATCGTCTTCATACGCATTGTTTCACGCTTCTTTTGTCCTCGCATCGATTTACAACAGTCTACAGGATGTCCCAAAAATGTCTCGCAATCCGGAAATGGCGGGTTCCTCGGATCATTCGAAGCAACTTCTTCCTTTACAAAAATGTTCTCCGAGGCACCGTTAACGAGTTATCAACGAGAAACCTGTCTCTTATACACATCTAGATGTGTATAAGAGACAGGTTTCTCGTTGATAACTCGTTAACGGTGCCTCGGAGAACATTTTTGTAAAGGAAGAAGTTGCTTCGAATGATCCGAGGAACCCGCCATAGATGTGTATAAGAGACAGGTTTCTCGTTGATAACTCGTTAACGGTGCCTCGGAGAACATTTTTGTAAAGGAAGAAGTTGCTTCGAATGATCCGAGGAACCCGCCATAGATGTGTATAAGAGACAGGTTTCTCGTTGATAACTCGTTAACGGTGCCTCGGAGAACATTTTTGTAAAGGAAGAAGTTGCTTCGAATGATCCGAGGAACCCGCCATAGATGTGTATAAGAGACAGGTTTCTCGTTGATAACTCGTTAACGGTGCCTCGGAGAACATTTTTGTAAAGGAAGAAGTTGCTTCGAATGATCCGAGGAACCCGCCATAGATGTGTATAAGAGACAGGTTTCTCGTTGATAACTCGTTAACGGTGCCTCGGAGAACATTTTTGTAAAGGAAGAAGTTGCTTCGAATGATCCGAGGAACCCGCCATAGATGTGTATAAGAGACAGGTTTCTCGTTGATAACTCGTTAACGGTGCCTCGGAGAACATTTTTGTAAAGGAAGAAGTTGCTTCGAATGATCCGAGGAACCCGCCATAGATGTGTATAAGAGACAGGTTTCTCGTTGATAACTCGTTAACGGTGCCTCGGAGAACATTTTTGTAAAGGAAGAAGTTGCTTCGAATGATCCGAGGAACCCGCCATAGATGTGTATAAGAGACAGGTTTCTCGTTGATAACTCGTTAACGGTGCCTCGGAGAACATTTTTGTAAAGGAAGAAGTTGCTTCGAATGATCCGAGGAACCCGCCATAGATGTGTATAAGAGACAGTCCGAGGAACCCGCCATTTCCGGATTGCGAGACATTTTTGGGACATCCTGTATATACAGTATCAGACTCTGTACAGTACATATCAAACTCTGCCGTTCAGAGAAGTAGCCTCGCGCAGAATTCAGCCGTACCTAAAAGGTTAATTGATTAGGGTCTGACCATTCTACTCTCGTTTCACCGTGCCAATTTCACGAGCGACGGATTCGTTAAGACGGCGGTCGGTTATTTCGTGTTTTTTCGCCGGAACATTTGCGAAACGTACAGCTCCGGTAACGATGGAAACGGGCGACGTAGCTCGAAGTGTTTGCGGTTGCGAAATATCGGTGTACCATCCGGACAATGCGTGTTAAATATTTATCGACGAGCGTCCGCGGGGACACGCGTTTCTTCGGGGTCGACGAACGACCATTATGTCCTCGGAACAGTGACGATTTCCGATTGTCAGTCCCCGCACGACACCTCGCCGGCTCAAGAACCGTTTTCCCGTATATTTTCGTCGAGGTTAATAAAATTCTCCATCGCCGCTGGCCGCCCTCCTTTCGTTCGACGAAATAGCGGGCATTTTTAGCTGTTCGCGAACGTCGCCGTTGTCGTCCAGCACACGTTTCGCACTCAAAAATTCATATCTGCCGTTCAATCTCTGTCATACACTGACGTCGACAGTGCGGGGCGAGGGACGAACCACCGTCCCATTTCTGCCGCATTCGTGTTGACACTCCTTTTGACAATTTTAGCCGGTTATTTAAACTTTAAGCTATTCTTGTTCGTTCACCGTCTTAAGTTGCTTTTATTCAGTTTTTACCGTAAATGCATTAAATCGGCAGTCTATTTACAACACATCGTAAGTATCTATCACGATATTTTATGTTACACATTTGACAAAAGTTTTGAAAAACTGTTTATACCTATGAAGAAGCACTCGATTACAATAATACCAGCCCGAGGGATTAAATAACGATCATTTTGTCAAACATGCAGCTTCGATGCTCGTTCGCTGGATAGGTCAGCCCACAATTAAGCGGGCTAGAATCATGGTGGCAATCACCAGTGAATCATTTTCCTCGTTGCGCGAAGCGAGGTGTGTTGTCGTTTACTAACACGTGTATCGTTCACCGACCGAATTATCGTTAAGACAATTTAGAGCGAAGTGAATTTCTAGCAATTTTACAATTCAATTTCACTCGCCTTTTCAACACTTTGCCACGCATAGATTACATTTTAACCCTTTGCACTCGAAGCTATTTCAACCGTAAATATAAAATAATTTTTCTAACTTTTAGTATTTCTATTTTATATGACAAAATGCATTTTATCCATATAAAATTGATTCTCGGGACTCGAAACTTTGTTAATATCAACATTATCTTGGAAGGTGATATAACAAATTTTAGTGGTGCCTCGTAGTCACCGTTCGAGTGCAAAAGGTTAGTATAGTTTGGTAACAGAAAATCGGAGCAGAATTCCATTGGAGTCTTCGCGAAATGGTACTCGATCAGAAAATCGTACCGAAACGAGCCGCGACCCGAGATTCCGACATCCTTGGCGACCGTGCTAAGGAGAGCAGCAGTTTACACTATCGGAAATTTGTTTTCCAGTAAAAGGCAGCTGGCCGAAGGTATTTGCACAGCCCTTAAAGCGTTAAAAGGCTGCCCCGTCTCTCGTGTAATCGAATACCCGACTCATCGAACACGCTGTATCAACGATTTCCTACACGTAGCAACGGGACCGAGCGCCTCGCGTGTTCAATCGACAAGATCATCCGAGTGTGCCCCATGTGTGCCCCATCAACAGCACTTTTTTTGTTTCGTTGTTAAACAAACAAATCGATCCGCGCGCTAGGTGGTCGATCGAACGATGCCGATACATTCGGCGAACGAACAAACAATTCGATAAAATACAATCGATCCTCGGTTTATATTCCCCTACAAGAAATCGGTGCACGAAAGTGTTGTTCAATGCTGAACGAATCTGTGCGTCAAATATTGATCCGACGAAAGAAATTCTGCCTAACGATCGACTTAATTATACGATAAATACGATGCGACGATTCTTGTACTATAAGAATCATTTACGCGCGAGATTCGATAACATCGTTCCTGGCTTATCGCATAATTAATTACACGAATGCCCTGTTTTCACAAAAATCGCTGGTATATCGGAGTCCAAATAAGAACAGTGCGAACAGGTCTACTTCCGGATAAGCCAACCGTTGCAGTTTATTTCTAGCTGGTGTACGAAATAATCGAAACATGGCCGGATAAACTTCAAGTACAAAAAATAAAATAGAAATATAACATCGAATTATAATATAGCAACATAGAAA